AACAAACACACGGACAGAGGAAGGCCTCTTGGCTGGATATAGGGCTGACTCGATGTTAAAACTGTTGTCTGACTTTGCTAAGCTGTTATAAAGCTGCTCATAGGTATGGATGCATGAAAGGGAATTGGTCGAATCGTCACAATTATCACTGAAATCTGCTCCAACACCGTTCTGAGCAACGAACAGCACTAGTTGGATAAGAGTAACTGCAACAGCCCTGAACAACAGAGGGGACATGTTTGATTATCTCTCTTGATTTTCTTTCTTTTCTGTATGGTTTTCTGAAAGTAAAAGGCAATATTTAGCCATTTAATAGAATGTATAGACCATTAGGACCATTATATATATATATATATATATATATATATAACAAGTTAAAAGGCCTCGATATATAAGCGAAATAGGCAACATAGGATCCAGGACAGTGCTCGACAATGAAGGAGCGATTACAGTAGCAAATGGACTACTCAAGTTACGTACATATGGATTTTAAAAAAGCAATCACGAAGAAACTAGGTATTGACGACCGGGTCGAAGTTACCGCCCAGAGGGAAGCGTTCGTAACACTTAAAGACCATTAAGACAATTTCTTAAACCGACTCACTTGTCGTTTGATCAACCCATCAAAACAGGAAATTGGAAAAGTAAGCAAGAAAATTCTCGAAAATATTAACCAGAAATTTGTAAATACAACAGGCGTTAATCAAGGGAAGAACACATCCTCTGTGCTGCAGTGGTTCAAGAACTTGCCAAATAAATGCGAATCTGCTTTCATCAGCTTCGATGTTGTAGAATTCTACCCCTCAATAACGGAAGATCTACTCGGACGTGCCCTCGACCTCGTGTCTAACTACATAAACATCTCCCCAGATGATCGTAAAATCGTCCTACTTGCTAAGGAATCACTACTATTTAGCAATGAGACCCCATAGCAGAAGAAAAACTCCAACGGACTTTTCGACGTCACCATGGGAAGTTATGATGGAGGGGAGACATGTGAACTAGTCGGCTGCTACCTCCTATCACAGCCTGCGACTATACCAGAAATTAACATCGGACTTTACCGTGACGACGGCCTTGCAGTTATAAACCAGACTCCCCAAAAAGTGCAGAGAATTAAGAAACAGATTTGCACGGTATTTTCCCAAAACAATCTTAATTACCATCGAAGCAAACAAGAAAATCATCAACTTTCACGATGTAACGCTTGACCTGACGACCGGCAGATTCGGACCCTATTCAAAACCAGCAACTACCCCTCTATACGTACACATCAAGTCTAGCCACCCACCTTGCATACTACGAAACATCCCCGAAGCAGTTAATAAAAGACTTTCTGAAGTCTCATCTGACGAAGACATGTTTGACAAAGCCGCACCTCCCTACCAAGATGCGTTACACAAGAGTGGCTACACATACAAGCTGAACTTGACTGAACCGGAACCGCAACGACCGCAATACCAAACCAAAAGGCAAAGAAACATAATTTTGTTTAACCCACGATTTCACAGAAACGTCCAGACCAACATTGGCAGAGCGTTCATTAACCTTATTGACAAGTGCTTTCCAGTCACCCACAAACTAAGGAAAATTTTCAATAGAAACACCATTAAACTGAGCTACTCATGCACACCCAATATGAAACAGATCATAGACGGGCATAACAAAGCC